AAGATGAGATTGCAGGAGCCTTTGTGGGACACTTCAAATCAATTCTAAGAAGGCCTGTAAGTAGGGGGGTGTGGTTAGAAGGATTGGATTGGCCAGATGTAGGGAATGATAATAGGAGAAGGTTGGAGAGAAGGTTTGATTTGGAAGAGATTAAGGAGGTTGTTTTCTCTATGGATAGAACAAAAGCTCCAGGACTAGATGGCTTCACAATGGCTTTTTACCAAGATTGTTGGGATACGGTGAAAGATGACTTTTTGTTGGTTTTTGAGGAATTTCATAGGAGAGGAGTGGTTAACCCGGGTGTGAATTCCACCTTTCTTACCTTGGTCTCAAAAAAGAAAGATGCATTGCATCCAAAGGATTTTAGGCCAATCAGCTTGGTAAATAGCTTGTATAAGATCCTTGCAAAGGTGTTGTGTCTGAGGTTGAAGGAAGTGTTGCCAGCTATTATCTCACCAAATCAAGGAGCTTTTGTGAGAGGAAGACAAATAACAGATCAAATTCTAATTGCTAATGAGAGTGTGGAGAAGTTCAGGAAGGATAGAAAGAAGGGAGTGGTTTGTAACTTGGATCTAGAAAAGGCCTATGACTTAGTGGAATGGGAATTTTTAAAGAAAGTTATGACCAAATTTGGATTTGGGGCTAGATGGTGCAAATGGATTATGGGGTGTGTTCATAATTGTCATTACTCTGTACTTATGAATGGGACAGTGGTTGACTTCTTCCCAACCATTAGGGGTGTAAAGGAGACCCCTTGTCTCCCTTCTTGTTCACACTGATTGCTGATGTTCCGGGGAAATTAATTTACAGAGCAGATTCTAGGGGTCTTATTAGAGGCTGGAGAGTTGGAAGGGAGGATACCCCCTCACCCATCTATAGTTTACAGATGACACAATTTTGTTTTGTGAAGGGGGAAATATGAGGTATGTAAGGAACTTGAAATTGGTGATACCACTCTTTGAACAAATGTCAAACTTGAAGGTGAACTTTGATAAATGTTGTGTAGTGGGTGTGAATATGGAGGAAGGTGAGATCAGGGAGACTGCAGAAGTGCTAGGGTGCGAAGTCTCAGAGTGGCCTTTGAATTATTTGGGGTTGCCATTGGGCGATAACCTGAAGAGAGAGAGAGAGAGTTTCTGGAATCCGGAATCCGGTGGTGAAAAGATTTTAAAAGAAACTTGTCTCTTGGAAAAGGAATTACCTTTCTATGGGTGGGAGGATAACACTGATTAAGGCTACTTTAGCAAATTTACCTATTTATTTCCTATTAGTGTTAAAGATCCCGGTAAAGGTTTCCAATAGATTGGAAAAGATGATGAGAGACTTCCTTTGGGAGCCAGGAGAGGAGAAAAGGGATCATAGAGTAGGTTGGAAGGTGGAGACCAGGAGTAAAAGTAGTGGTGGTTTGGGGCTCGGGAACATCAGAAAAAGGAATCTGGCCCTTCTGGGGAAATGGTTGTGGAGATTCCCACTAGAGAAGGAGAAGTTATGGGCCAAGATAGTGGTTAGCATACATGGGTTGGAGCTAAATGGATGGGATGCTGGAATCCAAGCCAAGACTACATGTGCGTCACCTTGGAAAGCCATTCATGAGTTGTTACTAGTTTTTTCCCCTCTTATCAGGTATGACTTGAATTCAGGTAATGCTATAAAATTCTGGGAAAAAACTTGGGTGGGGGATGCCCCTCTAAAGGACCAGTTTCCTTCTTTGTATGCACTCTCTAACCTTAAAAATGAGCCAGTTTCCTCCTTCATAACACTCTCTCCCACTTCTGGGTTTGGGTGGAATTTGGGCTTGAGAAGGGCTGTGAGAGACTCAGACCTTGACAACACCTCAAGTCTTCTTCAGTTTCTTGACAATATTTTCTTAGACCCTGCTAAGGTGGACTCTAGAATTTGGACTCCTACTCCCATTGGTTCTTTCTCTTGTGCCTCTATCTTCAAAGTTTTAAGCCAGTCCACCAGTCCTATAGCTCTCTCTTTTCCTATTCATGAGGTTTGGTGCAGACCAATCCCTTCTAGGGTTGGTAGTTTTTGCTGGGAAGCCTTTCTGGAAAGATTCAACACCCGTGATCTGCTCCAAAAGAAGAGACCCAATACTTGTTTGTCCCCTCATTGGTTTGTTCTTTGTAAAGCTGATGGGGAGATGGGTTTTCACCTACTGGTGTCTTGCCAATATGCAAAGTCTATTTGGGAGTTGGCTCTTTCCCTATTTGGGTGTAGTTGGAACCCTCCAGCAAATTTGCAATATCTGTTTTCTCCTTTTTTCAGGTGGCACATGAAAAGGGGCAGGATTATGTGGAGAGGACTGAGGACTGCGGTTTGCTGGTCCTTATGGGAAGAAATAAATGCCAGGATTTTCTTGGAAGTAGAGAGAAGTACTGATGAATTGAGGGCTTTGATCCTTATAAGGGTGGTACAGTGGATGAAATCACTAGAGCTATTCACAGATTATACAGTGGATGACATGTTGAAGAATTGGGGTGAGATTGCTAGCAGTACCCAGACCAAAACAATGATGAATGTGTCTTGGACCCCCCCGTGGGTTTCATAAAACTGAACTTTTGATGGGAGCTGCAGAGGGAATCCTGGACAATCTGGGGTTGGGGGTGTTTTCAGAGATGAGAATGGGGTTGTTTCTGCCATGTTCTCAGGCCCAATTGGAGTGGGTGACTCTCTCAGAGCCGAGATCCATGCGGTTATGGAAGGAATCCAGAAAGCCAGGGAGATGAATATCAGAAAGCTTGTAATTGAAGGGGACTCAGAGGTGGTGGTTGGATGGATGAATAAAGACTACAGTGGCTTATGGAATTACAGCAATATGAGGAGGAAATTTAGATGGCTGGCTCGAGAAATGGAGGTTAAAATCAGCTGGGTAAAAAGATCAGCTAATTGTTTTGCTGATGGGTTAGCTAAACAAGGGGTGGAGAGGGAGTCAATGTTCTGGGCACAGTTGTAATTATTTTTTCTGTTTCTCCTTCTTCTCTTTTTCTTTTTCCTTCTTTTGGGGCTCAAGTTATAGCTGGAAGATATGAAAGTTTGTCTTCCTCTTTGTAATTATGATTGAAAGTATTAATGAATTTAATGAAGTGTGTTATTGATCAAAAAAAAAAAAAATGAACTACTGATTTCCCTCATAAACAAATCTGGATTCCCAAGTTCCATCCAAAATCAATTTCTTGCTATGGGCTTCTGTATTAAGGAAATGCCTAACAAAAAGCAATCTAGCAAAAAGAGGTTTGAGTTTAACTGATCTTTGTTGTGGAATCTGTGGCCTTGAAGAAGAACCCATTGAGCATCTCTGTGTGCATTGCACAATTGTTTGGAGAATTTGGTCTCATTTCTTCAATACTGTTGGTATTAGTTGGGTAATGCCAGGTACATTGAAGAGTCTGCTACAATGCTGGTACCTTCCAGGCTTATCAAAGAAAGGCAAATACATTTGGAATGCCATCCCATCTGCATTGATCAGCTCTATATGGTCTGAGAGAAATGACAGAATATTCAGAAATGAGTGGAAGGAGCAGGAAGTGCTGATGATCCAGTGTATTGTAGCCAAACTTGCATCTTGGCTTTCTGTTATCCCTGTGTTTTGTAATCAGAACATGTTTGTGATGCTTAATTCTGTCAATCTGTGGGAGCTTTGATCAGTCCCTTTGGGGATTTTTTGATCCTCCCCTTTCTTGTATGATTTCTTCATCATGAATAAATTTACCTTATTTCAAAAAAAAAAAAAAAAGAATTGTCAACTAGAGCATGTCCTGGGCTAAACAAGGGGTGGGGTCAATTATTCTGGGCTACACTGTAATTTATATTGTTTTTTGAGGCTGCATCTCGCGCCTCTTGGGAAAACTAAATTCTGTATCAGTTGTAAACCCATCATTAAAAAAATTTTTAGTGAATTGCTTTATTATTCATAAAAAAAAAACTAGAGTAGTGTCCAGCACTCCTGCAGTGAACAGTAGAGTTGCAAATCAGGTAATATGGGGTTATGACCCTCATTTGTGAAACCCAAAATCTTAAGCCCCAATGCAAGTTCCAAGTGCCCAACAAGATCAATGGTCTGTATGGATTTAGTAGTCGTACAAGACTACAGATTTGAACAGTAAATAAAAGAAGAGAAGAGGAGAGATGGAGAAGAGGAACTCGTGGAAGGGTTTTAGGAGAAGAGAGTGGTTGGTTGTGTTAAAACAGCCGCCCCACCCTTTGAATTTATATACATAATTTCCTAATTGTAAAAGAACTTTAACGCTTACATGGCAAGATAAGATAATTAAAAACTAATCCTAGATAAGATAGAATAGGATTAAAACTAATCCTACTAGGAAAGCTGATCCTAATCAATGACTTAATTAAATCTAAGTACAACTCAGGCTGTCACATGAGTACACTAATGTGGGGCCCACACTTTCCTACAGATTTCAGATAAATTGGTTTTCAGAAAAGGACCTGTTCAAAGAAGTCCTTGAAAGGAACCAAGAAACAACAGAAAATAAAGGGAAAAAATATTCAACTTACTAATGATATTTCCCTCTACAATGCCTCCAATTAACCAAAGAGATGAGAGAAAAGTGTCAAGTATTCCTAACATCCCAACTGTAGCACCATGTCTTCAAAAAGAACGACTAATAAATTGATATACTTCTCTAAGCATCTGTAATCCACGGCTGAAAGAGAGAAGTGAAGGGGTGTCAAGCAAAACCAGTCGACCCCTACCCCATAGAGTCATATTTTATTAAGAGACGTAATATATGTACAATTAGTAGAATGCTTCTCAAGGAGAGAAATAAAACAAAGCTATATACTATTATCATCCAGACTATCATAATACAGTAGGTCCTATAATATACATGTCATGTACAGTCCATCTGTTCACAATGCATGTGATAGTTTTGTGAATTTGTGATTTCATTATGCTAGTTTAGTATTTTATAGGTGCACATAATATTCAATGGATCATATTTGGCTACCTATATCCTGATTGCATTTGAATTTGGCAGGAATATGATGTTGAAGATTCTATATTGCCCCTGCAACCATCTCTTGATTACACTGCTCCTGAACTTGTTCGAAGTAAAACATTTTCAGCAGGATATTCATCTGATATATTCAGTTTTGGATGCCTTATCTACCACTTGGTAGCTCGGAAGCCTCTCCTGGATTGTCTCAACAATGTGAAGATGGTAATGCTGTGATGTGAATTTACAATTATTTGTTAAGAGTGACATGGGTGTAGTTGTATCTTGCTTCCATTTTCTAGCTAGGGCAGCAGCCTGGAAGACTTAAGCCTCAAGTATTATCAGTTTGATTAATGTTTCTCCTCCCCACCTCCCCCCTTTCCAAACTACACACACACACACTGAAAACAAATATAGTTGAGAAGCTAAGAGAATATTTTTTCAGTAACTGTTGAAAATACTATTAAAAGAAAAGTGTAGACAGATGTAAAAGGTGTACACTGTTATGTATGAATCTGGAAAAGAGAAAGTAAAAGCTTTACAAGCCACACATTCCTGCTCCACTGAGAGCCCCATGCACAGAAATGTATTAACCAAGCGGGTATTCATCCCACTTCAATTTGTAGTAGGTGGGATTTTTTTTTGATAAGTAAAATTGTTTTATTAATTAATAAAGATCAATAAAGAAGCTGAATAGCCCAGATACAGCTTGTTGGGACTACAGGGGTCTGTTAAAGAAAGTTAAATGGATGACAAGAAATATGACTGTCAGGTTTCAGTGGTCAGCAGATCAGCAAATGCAATGGCTGATTCTCTGGCCAAGCAAGGGGTGTCAAGGGGAGATCTGTTTTGGGCTACTTTGTAATTTGTGTTTCAGGCTTGGGCATGTTTAGTGTAAATGATTCAGTCCTCAGGGGAGGTAACATCTTGTGCTTCTTCCTAGGCTGATTGTATTTCTGTTATTTGAATTAATAAAATTACTCTCATTTATCAAAAAAAAAAAAGATCAATAAAGAACACAGATAATGCTTCCTTCAAAGAGGTGTGAGATGTTGCTTCAAGAAAACCCTCAATGTTACAACATAGCTCAAAAGAGTTGATTCCTATGCTCCCCTTAGCTAGACAGTCTGCCATCCCATTTGCTGATCTTCTTTCCCATTGATAACTGACAGAGATGTTTGTGGTTAGCCATTTAAATGTCCTCAATGCTCCCCTAAACGATCAGGTCACTGTCTCTGGATCTTTCAGCCACCCAATTACTAATTTGGAGTCACTTTCAGTTAATAAATGTTCAACGTTCAGCTCCTTAGCAATCTCTTCTGCTTGTAGAACTGCTTGGACTTCTGCACTAACTGAATCCACCTCTCTAATGGGACCACAAAATAAAGCAATAATCTGTCCCAGTGCATCTCAGAAGACTCCCCCAATCCTTGATGGCCCTGGATTTCCTAGACTGTTTCCATCAAAATTTAGCTTGATGACACCTTCTTTAGGGGGTCTCCATTTCACCACCGGCTTATCTCTTGCAACGAAGCTATTGGCCACCACCAAATCCCAATTCCTAGTAGGTAGGATATTAAAATAAAATGAAACTTCTAAGAGGAAAATGAATTATGTTTAATGTTCCTACTAAGTTAGTTTAGTTTTAGGTGGTCAGGAAAAGGAATTATCATGTGATAAAAGAAGTAGGAGAATGGGATATTTGACTACCTATCAGCTACCTAAAGACAAGCTAGGGTGAGAAATTTTGACCTTACAAGCACAGGCATAAGAGACCAGTTTGAGGCCTTTTAAGTCTTGACTTGGTGGAATTGGGTTATGTGAGAGTCATGAGGCACAGGAAAATGGAGTTGGAAGCTACTAGGGTTGAGGAGAGACCGGTTAAAGGTGGTAGAGGGAAATTAAGTTCACAAGAGGTAGACAGAGGGAAGGGGGGGAAATACCTCTCCAAAGGCTTTTTTTTTTCTTGTTTTGATGGTGATGTTTTCACCTTTTGAGCTTGTTTATCTGTTGTTGTATTTGAACAACTTTTAAGGTTTTTTTTTGTTTTTTAAGTTTTTGTGAAAGGTGTAAAGTTTTGCATTAAGTAGAATGACAAAATATACAAACAAGACCTTTCAGCAAGTCACTGAGCAGAACCACACCTTTCTGTAAAGATTACTATAATATTAGGTACAAAAAGTGTTCTGTCCTCAAGAAAAGAGCTCTAAGGTACATCCCTGGAGCATTTGTGTGTGGCCACCCATGGGTAAATTCTACGCCATAGAAGTTTCATCACTGATTCTCTTAAAATACGTTGAGGCTTTTTTTGTATAGCAGAACTTGTAAGATTTCATAGTTTGGGTTGGCAGGTCTTGTCCATGTTTTGCTTCTCCATGCCTTTTCTTTGGTTCTGTTTCTGGGAACATAGTCATTTACAGCTTGTACAGCTTTTCTTAAACAAGTTCTAAATTTTACTTTAGAAAAAAACAAAACTATAGGGGGGAATCCCATGAATCAGATGCTTCATTGGGGGAGGGCAGGAAGTCTTTGGAGGTTCAATTGGATAAAACTCATAAGAGCTTTATCTATTGGATTATATAGTATCAAAGGAGGTAGAAGTAGTGAAAGAGATTGGGCTTTCCTTTTGGAAAGGGGTGGTGTTTTGCTAGGGAGATATGTAAGAACCTGGAAGAAAACAGGAGGTGACAGAGAGGTGGCGAAAGTTCTGAGCATAAAATATCCGTCCAAGGGGGGGCATCCAGAAGCATCAGGGGCAGGGGGAGAGGTGGTAGGGGGCAAAAAACACACTAAAATTGTTAGAGGGCTGGAGTGAGTGTTGCTGGTAAGGTCTATTTTCTTTTTTTTATCCTGTTAGCTGGGTTGGGATCTTTTGGTATGAGTTGTTTTGGGAGTTGCTATATATGCGTACATCTTGTGAAGCTCTATTACTATGCAATGGTCAATTTTAAGTTATGGCCACTGAAATGTCTTTTGGAGAATCCTTGGCTACTGTACTAATGATTTCTTATTGTTATTTCTTTTTCCTTTCATCGTCCCCCTCCCCTAGAGGGACCCTTCAATTACCAAAGTATTGAGCTTGTTTGCATCAACAACCATGCTCAAGAAATCAAACATTTTAACTTTACAATTCATTAAAACACCCTTGGCCTTTTTTCCCCATGAAATTGCACTGCCTGTGTAAGTTCATTTATATTTTCTCATTTCTATATTTTTTTCCTTCTTTTAGGCTGTAAAACCTGCTTTTCTGTTGCATGTTACTGCAGTACATGAATAACTTGACATACTTGTCAAGCGGGGCTTTTTCAACTATCCCACCAGATTTAGTTTCTGACTTGCAAAGGATGCTCTCAGTCAACGAGGCTTCAAGACCTACTGCCTTGGATTTCACAGGTAATGAGTGGCTGCTGATGAACTTTGAAATATCTTTGATGTCATATATCTTTCTAAGTTGTTGCTTATTTTCATTTGCAATGTCAGTATTCTTTCTCAACAAATTTATCCATGGTGTCATTTGTGTTAATGGTGATTATTTTGCAAGGTATTCAGTGTTGAGCTCTTGCTTCTTGTAGTTAATGCTTAATATTTTCCAACATAGGCAGTTGGGGAATGTCCATCAAGATTTTTATTTTTGATATGTAACGGTGATTATTTTATTAAATTATATAGTAAAGAATGTTATGTACAGAAATGCTGTGCCTAACACCCCAAAATAAGGCCTAGCCCCTGCTAGTCTCCCCTCAAGTATACTTTTATATCTCCTGTGATTGGGGAATCATTCCCCAGTACAATTGTTATGTTCACTCCTTTCGTACTAATGCATCTATCATACTATTGGTAGACCTTGGGACCCAACCGTAAGTTGGACTTAAAACTGCAACCATCTGTTCAATCTCTCTCATTATATTCCTATACTTCCATGACCTAATACAGTTATTCCATAACCAATCTACAATAGTATGAGAAACCCTTTCCACCACTAGCTCTCCAGTCTCCAATCTCTAGAGATTTAACTAGTCTAAGCCTCTAAGGGCTTGTGATACTGACAATAATTCAGTCCAAGTAGAGTCACCAACACTATATGGTCTTGAAAATGGCTCTACTATATCTTCTTCATGGTTCTTTAACACTCTCCCAATTATTGTGTCTTCAGGGGTTTCCTGAACTATAACCATCAAGGTTCAGTTAGATGATGTGAGGAAGTGGAGGATTTGCCACCAACTATTGTGATGCCATCAGTGGAGAATGATGAAAATGCATTAATGGATTTAACCTATTGTGCCTCTCTAATAACTTTATTTTTGATGATTTCTTGTTTGAATCTTGTCTTTAAAAATCCTTACATTTCTTTCTTTCTAAAGATTCCAAAAAGTCATTGCCCTAGTGTATTTCTAAAAAAATTTGCCTCTTCTCTTGGAAGGAGAGAAAATATGAGCTGGAAAAACTATCCAAATCTTATAGGGAAGCCTGCTTGCATCCAAACAGGGAAAACATTGAAAAACATATAAAAACACCAAGAAAGAAAAAAGTACTTAGGAGGGACCTGGGTCAAATCATATTATAATCAATGTTCTGAGAACTGGACCGGGCATAGAATTGGAGATGGGAAAAGTTCACGGGTCAGAGGTTCAACTGGGGTCGAACCATGATGATGTGGCATATACATATATATACTAGAGGTCATATAAATATTATATATAATACATTTTACAACTTTTAATATGCTTAAATATGGTGTATTGATGGAAAATTCCTTAATTTTTAAAGCAAATAATTAGGATTCAAGTCTCTTAATTTACATGTTCTTTAAATACATGCATAATAAAGTAATATTTACAATAGTCATTAATTAACACAAGTTAAGAGGTGGACTAATGGTAATTAAGCAATATATGAAAATAAGAGGTCTTAGGTTCAAATCTTGCTGAGCACATTTTAGACTTTCTATTAGTTAAGGACCTGGGCAGTTTCATGAAAGTGGGACTGGTTCACCGGTTTTCTGGTTAAACTAGCCGGTCAGCCAATTTTCATCAGTTTTTTAACCAAAGCGGTCATTGGGGTATGACCGAACTGGCCAAGGTCCCAGGTCATGGTTCAACTGGTCCGACTGGCCGGTTGGTCTGGTTTTCTAAGCACTGATTATAATTGATTAACTCAGGGATTTTTTTTGAAGAATCCTGATAGGACAGGTCAATCCCAAGTTTAAGTTTCCAGTTTTGGCCCTTTGTGATTGATCTACTCTGGGACTAGCTGACTGATTGAATGGTTTAACCTATGCTCTAGTTTGGGTTCCATGTGTTGAACCAAGCTGTAATACAGTAACTATGGACGTTGCTTATTCAATTATTACATGCTCGCATGAACTTGTGTAGATAGCCGATTGCAGTGGACATGAGAAATATGACAGTTTTAATCTTTGATGAGCAGCATGAGCTAATGCAATCAAATTCCTGTTTAAGCAACTGGTCAAAACACTCCCATTTTGACAATCCATTATCATCAAAATGTCAAAATATGTACAATGTACCTGGTTATGGGTATTAGATAGCTCTGATGTTGTTTTACCATATTTAGTTTTGGGCTTTATACTTATTATCTTTTCAGGCTTTCACATGGATACAGCATTTTGATGACAAAAAACCAAAAATGAAAGAAATTGTCCCGACATTTACAATATTTATGATTTTGAGTACCTAACGAATGATGTGGTTTTATGTAGAATAATATCATGTCATCTTTTAACACTATATCATGTAATGATATTCTTAATTACATGGTTTTTAAAACCGAACCGGTCAGGGGTCCGGTTACCGGGTCGAACGGTCCGACCTTTCGAACCGAACGCTTGGCCCGTTTTGACAAAAAAAATAATAAAAATTCAAAAAAATAAAAAACGGTCAAAACCGTTCGAACGGTTAACCGCCCGGTTCAGCGGTTCGCTGACCAAAGTCAATGGTTTTGGGGGGAAATCCGGTTATTGCGGAAAACGGAACTGGTCACCTGACCGGCTCCCAGTTTTTCCGGTTTGACCGTCCGGTCCGGTGCGGTTTTGAAAACTATGCTTAATTATTTGAAAATCTTTCTCAGTTTATCAGTAGCCAAGAACAAATTATATACTTGTTCCTTCTTATTTTACTTAATTGATAGGCAGTTGTGTGCTTCAAAGATATGTTCTTTGCTTTGCAGGTTCTCCATTTTTTCGGGACGACACTAGGTTGCGTGCTCTTCGTTTCTTGGACCACATGCTTGTATGCATTTTAATTTTTTCAAAGCTTAATTTGTACTTGCTTCTGGGATAGAGTTTGTTTGGTGCATCCTGAATAAATTGGAGTTTACAGTGGTAGTTGGATGTAGAACGTCTTAATGTAAGAAGCTTGTGTGCTTGCAGGAAAGGGATAATATGCAAAAAACTGAGTTTCTGAAGGCATTGTCAGATATGTGGAAAGATTTTGATTCCCGTGTATTGCGGTATAAGGTCAAGCTTCTTCTTTTCCCATCCATGCCTTTCCTTCTGTAGCTTTTGTTTTAATTAATTGGTGGACTTGTTTCCTTAAGCCCTCTTACATATATACATTTTGATTGATAACCAGAACAAAGAGATTTATTAATTCATAAAAGATAATAAGAAATAGTATATATGATGATAGGACAAGATTTTGATTTATTACCCCATGACCAGTCAGCAGATCATCCTCATATAACACCTGTTTGTATTATTCCAATGTGCTACACTGCTACTATCCCTCGATAATTTCTCCACCATACATCACTGCATCATTCACCCTTTCCCTAGCCAAGATTGAACGGTTTTGGATTGGATCCCCATCCAAACCAAAATCAATTTGGATGGATTGAACGGACCAACAAGACATATTGAATTGGACCAATCCATACATACTTGTCCAAAGTATTTATCGGATTGGATTGGACCTTGTCCTTCTGTAATGAATTTATATCGAATTAGGTTGGATTGAACAAATATTTGGTCCATTGATATAAGATACGAATATAGGTGTCAATGGACTGGGTTTGGGTTGAAACCAATCTAAATTAAAACTAATTTGAACAGATTGGACGATCCAGACATTGAATTGACTGGTCCAAAATATTCATTGGACTGGAATGGACCTTGTCCATTTGTAATGGATTCACATTGGACTGGATCAGGTTTGGACCAAATCCAGTCCAATTGACACCCGTAATGTCCACCACTGAGTTTGCTGATTTAGGGGCGAGCCAGAATGCATGGTGTTAAATATATGAAGAAATCCATTAATTAATTTATATTTTTTTTTATAAATGAGAGTAGTTTTATTAATTCAAAAAATAGTAGTACATTCAGCCTAGGAAGAGGCACAAGGTGTTACCTCCCTCTAGGACTGAGTCATAAACACTAAACAAACACAAGCCTGAAACACAGTTACAAAGTGGCCCAAAACAGATCTCCCCTTGACACCCCTTGCTTGGCCAAAGAATCAGCCATTACATTTTCTGATCTGCTGACCCACTGAAACCTGACTGACATA